TGAAAAGTAAGGTAAGGTCTACTCAATAAAAACTTTGTAATTCCTCTTTGATTTGATGCTTAGCGGCGATAACCCAAGTCTGAAATAATCAACTCTCCGCGCATTCCTGACCCGGGAAGTGGGCAGGCGACGACTTGCAACAGAAGGTTGTCTCAGTAAAATTGAGTTTTCTTGCGAACCCTCTGACCGATTTTCAAAAACATGAGCTTGTTTTAAACCTTAGAGTATGTTTAATATGTGCCTTTGTACCGATTTGATATATCTTTTTTTGTTCGAAAGATACAAGGTAGGGAACCTTAATTTTCTGATGACCCTTGTACAAGTATTGTAACCCAGTTTTTTCTGTATTTCCTCAAAAAACCAATTACAGGGTGACAAGCTCTTGAAAATTCATTGAAAAGCTAGAAACCAAATGCAGCTTCTGCGCTCAAGCTCTCAAATGTAGAATTTGTTTTTCAAGTTCAATGGGCTGCACGCTTCTTTTTTGTGGAAAGCATGTCCATAAGTAATCATGTCATTTAGAAACCTTGAAAAGTCAAAGAACTTTATAATATAGGGGAGGGCGGCCAAGAATGCTTTTGTTATTTTTTTCGAATTTCCCCTTTTTCTGCGCGAATTTCCACAAGTGGCTCGGATAGCCCCCTGTTTTACTTAGCCCCACTGCCCCCTGAAAAACATTGATAAGTTGTGGAAAAGGCAGGAAAGAGGTGTGCAAAAAAAGCTAAAAATGCCTCGAATTTTCAACACTTGACGTGATGAAGTACCTCCCGGGACGCCTCAAAATGATTGCAGTTTTTCTTCGAAGAGCAGGGTTGCAACGTCATGTTGCCATCTTGTCAAGTGAAAAACCTTAAAAATACTGAACTCTGCTGCATCCGGACCGATTTTAATGAATTTTTGTTCTAATTCTCCTCTTTAATACAGCTTAAGCTTAGCATTAGGCGGCACCTATGCGGTTTTAGCAGTTTTTGGTGTGCATAAAAATTTTGTTTTCATTTTACTTCAGTCCTCTGCAAAGTCGTCGAAACCTGAACAAAAACGAGTCTAAATGAAAGTTTAGCCTTTCACCTTTCTGACGAGCTTGATCGCGTTAGTGCCACTCAGGGCTAAGTAAACCCATAAAACTAATACACCACCAGAAAGTTCTATTTAAGATTATAACTTTTAAGAAAAAGGAATTCAAATCAGTGCAAATGCAGCGAAGGTATGAATTGTTACAGACTTTCTAACTAATTAATGGCAATGTCGCACACGGCAGCATAAGCATAAAAACTGCCTAATTCACACGTCTTACCGCCCTTTATAATGAATAGATCACGAAAGAGCCCTGCCACACGATTAATTGAATGCTGTGCTGTACTTTCAGTGGTTCCCAATGGCGTGTCAACGACTATGACCAACTTTGAATGGTTGTATGATGTATGCCCCCTGGAATGATCTTTTGCTCGTTAGAAAGGTGATAGGCTGAACTTCTATTTAGATTGGTTTTTGTTCAGACTCTGTTGACTCGAGTATTTCAGTTAAATGAAAACCTAATTTTCGTGTTCATCAAAAACTGCTAAAACCGTATAAGGGGAATTATTTCCAAACGGGACCTTCGAGGTAGAAAAATCAATTTAACTGGTGTATGATAAAATGTTGTGCACCGTGTAGGAAAAACCTACAATTTTAGGAATTGAGTTCACTTTTCATTTGAAGTTTCTAGATTTGCAAGATTTTTCAGTTTTTCTGAAGGCATGTCGAGAGCAGTAATTTTCGAGGTTATGTTTGGAGTAATTTTTATTCGTTGGACCACATTTTGCAATAAGGAAACCACTATTTCTGGCTCATTTTACAAACAACATATATGGCATTGGTTTCCCTACACAGAAAGGTGCTTTTATGGAAGAGCCAGAGATAGTGGTTCCTTATTGCAAAATGCAATCCCATTACACGTTGCATCTTTATGATTTAAAACCACATGGAGTTACAGTTAAGTTCCTCAAAAATATCAAACAGCCTTCCAAAAGCAGAAAATTCCAAATATATGCAATATTTTCCTCATTTTGTGAAGGCATGTGAAAATGTAACGTCCGCAACAGAAAAGCTACTAAACTTAATGCCATTTAACGCAGGAGCCAGTTGAGAAGTTCTTGTTTGGTGAACGATAGCACATGTTCTTCATTGCTACTCTAGTAGTGTTAGACCGTATTTAGACACTTCAGTTATCACGTTGTACAAAGTCGAAAAAGTGGAACATCCACAACGGAGAGGACGTTACACGGCTCTAGCTAGAATTAATCTCACATTTAACTTGTTTGATAAGCTTGTACTAAAAATTCAGGTACACTATAGCAACTCGATTAGATTTCAATTTATTTTCACTCATTAAGTGTATTCAATTTTAAATTCAATTTCGGTAAAACATTCCTTATTGTTTCTTTAGATAGTTGATACATTTGTCCTGATGATGTGCATTTAAATACATTTTAATTATTGATCATAACTACTTTTAACCTCTCCTCATGTTCGACAGCACGGTTATTGTGTCTATCCTGCACCTCCTACTGTAATAGTGTTACTATAGTGCACACGCCGGGGCCTATATCGGGAATGCGGCTTATTGCTGCTATCTATCGATGCCCACGAAAATCAGTTTTTCAAGATTTTTTAACACGTTATTATGAAACATTTTCGTGTGCTGTAAAAAACTCGAAGGAAATTTTCTGGGCAGAGCACTTGGTCAGTTTTGGATTTCTTGGGGATCCTCGAGATTAAAATTTTTTGTACCGCCTGAGTTTGATAGAATGATTTTGACGGGCACCGGTACCCCCAATTTTGAAGGTGGATTCCCCATGTTACCTACCAATGGGGGCAGTAGGGGCCTTGGGAGGATGAAATTTAGAACCCTTGGGGGTCAATTGCCATTTCACTTCTGCCATATCCGACTTCGTTCGACCTAAAATAACTAAATAAATAGCACTACACGGGTGATCTAGAATACCCTGTATTTTTAATAAAAGGCGCATTTTTACACTAATGATGAACGTAACATCTCTTAACTTTGCCGTTCTGTTCATTTTCACAAATAATTTGTGCTTAAATTTATTTTTAGGTTGTATTTTAAAGATAGAAACTTGGCTCTACCTCTACCATCACCTCTGATATTTACCCCGGAAAGTTTCTCACTATGCGTATTGAATTTAAGGTGAAAGTCCCAGACCATTGTGACTATTGGCTTTTCTGATTCATGCTGTTACCTTTTAATTCAATAAGTTCATAAGCTGCGAGAGTTACAGCCTAGTTTAGGTACAAAGTTCTATGGCTGTATCGTCCGCAACGCCATAAAAGTGGCAATATCTCAACAAAATCATATTAAGTATATTTGAGATGGATATTTTATTGAAAAGTAGACTCAATGAGACGCTACCAGGGCTAACTAGAATTTAGATGAAGTGAATAGTTTCTATAAAAATTGAAGTCAAAGTAAGGTCCACACAAAGGGGAGGTCTTTTTTGTAACGTCTGCAACAGCCTTCTTTGACCTGTATCTTGCATTGTACACAATCTTTTTCAACAAAAATTTGCAGCACGATAGAGAGCAAGGTACATTACTCAGTCTTCGAAAAATGAATTTTGTGGGCTGAGCAGACCAACTTATGGACAGTTTAAGGCATAGAGTGTAACGTCCTTAACTAAAATAATTCCCTGTAAGTGCAGTGCTAAGTAAACCCAAAAACCTATAAACCGCTACAAAGCTCCATTCAAGAGAACAGGTTTGAAAATAAAGTTCATTGAAATAGATTGAGATGCAGCGGAGTCCTGAATTTTCAAAACTTTCCACTTTAAAAAAGGCAAAATCGCAACTCTGCGCTTCTAAGCAAAATCGCAACTCTGCGCTTTTAAGCAAAACCGAGACCAATTTTAGGCGTCTCGGTAGATGCTTTATCACATTAAGTGTTCAAACTCGAAAGGGCCTTTAGGCATCTGTGACCGTTTTTTCACACATTTCTTTCGTAATCAAAGGAAACTTGCCACTCTGTATTGTGAACGCTTGATATTTAAATTTTCTACCTCAAGGAATGAGTTCAGAATTATTTCAAATGCTCGGAGCCACTGATTTTTGTATTTTCAAATACCTACTAAATATGGGAGAAGAAACAATAAAAATGTGGCCTGAACTGTAAGTAACAGAATAGTATTCCAATGCATTTGCCCGAGTTGAACAAATGAACACTCCCCTCTCTTTGCTGGCTTTCATTGATACTCGTTCGAGTTCACATTTTTTACTCTAATGTGAATTTGTGGAAATCTTAGCCTGAAATACCTTGCAAAAAAGTGTAGATTCGTGAACCCAACTACCTATATTCTACCATCTTGTTTTTTGAATACTAAATCTAGGTTCGGGAGGGTCAAATTAAATCATGAGTAAGTGAGTTCAGAAATAAGAAAAAATAAAACGCCTCACTTTGTATTTAACATTTTCCTTTATTCATCTTGTGAGGTAATAAAGTGTCAAGTGGGGTCTGTTTTTTGCAAGTGCTATAGCTCCAGTTTTCATTCTCTGTAAAATCGGGGTTTTATCTCAAATATATTTTAAAGAGAGATCTTAATATTTGTAAAAGTAGTATGTGCTGGAGCCAAATGGAAGCTATTTGCAAATTAAGCAACCGAAAGTACGTAGGCGATTTTAGCAAGCATATCAGTAAAATCATTTTAGCTAACAAATGAAATTCTCAAGGGCCCATAAAATGTTTTATGTGGTTGTTATGGAAAGTGAATTTTCTGAAAGAGCCTTGATGCTGTAATATTAGAACTGCGCCAATTTCAAAGATATTACAGCCTGATAATTATGCGCATTTTAATGCTTGCATCTGGTTCAGTTTAAACATCTCGATTACCCTTTTTTAGTTTTTCAAATATTTTCTCGTCATCAGCATCGTCAAATATCATACTAATCAGACTTCCAGTCCGTACTCAGGCTCTTCAACTTTTTTTATACTATATTAATTTTGCTTTCAGCCCTAGCAGTCTGAGTTTGAGCATCGCCACATCAGATGGTGTTGAATCGATGGGAGGCAAACTGAACTCTATTGGTCTTACTTCAACTCCCATTATTCACTTTCTTGTTATGTGTTGGAATACGAATGAGGAGTATGGAAGAGCGAATGAAGCTGGTTATTACAGTAAACTTTCTTCTGCCTTCAATCATGTGCATAACGTGGTAAATTTGTTTATGCCATCATCTCTTCTGAGCTACCTAGTTTTACACATTCTGCAAACCATCAAGGAACAGTCAGTTGAAAGAATCGTTCACATTGGCATCAGTATAGGATTTGACACTAAGATGTGGCATCGCCCTTTACAATCTGGAACTATACTTTTAGACCCCATTTTTTGCCACCAGACAAAGAAATTCACTTTTAAGAAGAGCGACCTTTAACAAATTGATGTGCTCTAAGATTGACTTGGGCACAACTGAGTCATACTATGTACCTACCTGCCACTCAAGCTATCCCTGGATCAACCATTCAGGACAGCCGGCGATTATAATTAAGGCCAGGATTCAGACTTTTCACTCTGAACCAATCCTGCGCTCATCTATACGTATCCCCTACCTACCCACGTTAGTTTTCTCTTCCATGCCAAACTGGCCCCACTTTGCTTTGTAAAGTTACTATATACTATGTTCAAGGAGAAAATTACCTTCTCAATAGCTATCATTCTATATCCTAAAAGCATAAGAGTCCTACAAGTTTCACAATTGATGCAATGGTCACCCAAAATTTCCCTATCAATGAACGAGTCACCAAAAAACAAGATATGACGTCAACCAATCCGGATCTTACGTATGCCCACTTTTGGCTTCCAAATTGGAATGAGGGTCGTTCCAGTTAGGGAAGTACTCTTAAACTCATTCCTTATTTGTCACAGAAAATTGCAATGCCCTCCTTTGAACCAATGTTTATATGGCGCTTGCCCAAGTAGCATTTTTCAACGGAAAAATCGCGATTTTATCGCCGATAAAGTCGCGATTATCCTCGATTTTATCGGCGATAAAATCGCTAGGATCATCGACATTTGAGCGATTATCCTCGATCTTTTCGCGATTTTATTGCGATTTTATCGGCCCGAAAAAATTGCGATTTTATCGCGATAAGATTGAGGATGATCGCTCAGATGTTGATGATCCTAGCGATTGATAAAATCGCCAAAAAAA